GATCACTTTCGCGAGGGTGTGGAAACGCCCGATCCGATATATTGGGTATTAAACTTAATTTTAAAGAATTTACAAGAGACGGCGCAATGACATCGGCCCATACTGAAGCCAACTTCATATGACAGCCCTCATTAGGCTTTAAGAATCAATATATTTCATTTGGTCGAAGTGTAAATAACATATTTTTTTAGCGCACTCAATATGTCGAGTTATGTGCCAACGAAACGCAATTTGCGGGAAGCGTTACTTTTTGGTTTCCATTTGAAAAAATCGACAGCTGAGAGTCTTCGTTTGCTGTCCGAAGCTTACGGGGATTACGCTCCATCGATCTCAACTGCGAGTACTGGTTTAGACGATTCAAAAGTGGAGATTTTCCACTTATCCATCGTTCGAAGGTAATGCTCTGTATTTGGTGGGATCAGAAGGGTGTGGTCTATTATGAGCTGCTAAAAACTGGCGAAACCATTACTGGGGACCGTTATTGACAACAGACCGTTATTGATACAGTTGAACCGAGAATTGAAAGAAAAACGACCAGAATACGTCAAAAGTGAACACGACAAAGTGATTTTCCAGCATGACAACGCTCGGCCACATGTCGCTAAACCGGTGAAGGAAACGCTAGAGCTGCTCGGATGGGATGTTGTACCCCACCCGCCGTATTCACCAAACATTGCTCCTACTGATTTCTACTTGTTTCGATCCATGCAGAATCTGTCCTTTCTGTCCAGCATTTCACTTCTTTAGAAGATATAAAAAAATGGCTCGATTTACGGATAACCATAAAAGACGAGTCGTTCTTCCGCCGAGGAATCCGCCTTTTACTAGAAAGATGGGAAAAAGTTGTAGCTAACGATGGACAATATTTTGAATAACATGTACTCATCACTTTGTTTCGAAATAAACGTTCATTTTCACAAAATATCCTTTAAAATTAAGTTTAATACCCAATATTTACAGCGACAAAGTCGAAAGCAAGTTAGCTCATGAGCCATCGCGCTCATTCAAGAGATGCGGGATGCACAGGTTGCTTAAAAAAAAGTTACAATAACATTTCAACGTCCGTCTCGTTTCATGAGGCGGTCGATCAAAGAAACGACAAATTGAGTAAAGCAGAAAGAGAGAGAGAGAGAGAGAGAGAGAGAGAGAGAGAGAGCGACTTAAAGTCATGTAAGTAGTCTTTTCAGATGCGTTACGTCAAGGACGACCGTTTTTCTTCCTTCCTTCCTTCCTTCCTTCCTTCCTTCCTTCCTTCCTTCCTTCCTTCCTTCCTTCCTTTATTACCACGTTCTCTTCGTAGCAATTAAGGAAAGGAGATTGCAACCGCGAGGATGAGTACTTGCCGGGGAAATAACGAAGGTTGTATGGGTCCATAGGGGTGGTGTGGGTGCCGTGCTAAAAGACGAAGCATTAGGTGCAGCTTAACGTCGATAGGGATCCCGACACCTGCGTACGCCATTAAAAAGTCCCCCTTTTTCTACATCATCGTAACTATATCCCATCTAACTTCTCTCGATACTTTCGCGAACTCGAGAGCTCGTCGCGAAGGGTTCCCACGTGCTCGTCCGTTTGCGACGAGATGGATTCCGAGTGTTCCTACCCTCCCCAGGAGGGGGTGACTCACGACGAGACGTTACACGTGAGTGCACGTGGCTGAAACTTAACCGGTAAATAGCAGTTTCCATTTGCACGATTTTTTTCTTCCTTTGCGAGAGAGAGAGAGAGAGAGAGAGAGAGAGAGAGAGAGAGAGAGGATCGCCAATTACGGCTGAAATTTACCGTAACCGTCGAAGTGCTTCGGTATAACCGGGAGAGGAGACAATAAAAATGCCACGACGCGCAGCCATAAATCTATCCGTGCGCTCTTCGCTTCTCTCCTTCTCTCTTAATCGGATTTCGTCGACCGTTGTGTGTTTCCCGATCTGTTTGCATAATATCGTTGATAAATTTTCACGCGTTTGTTCGACGGATCTTTCACGATCGGAATTGATGGCTAGCGCGTTCGCGGTGGATATTAAAACACCCTATTAATACGGCTCTCACGCACCGGCCGTTGGTCATCGATACACAGCCGGCGGTGACGTTCGGCCCTTTAATTATCACCGATAAATCATTGTGCTGTATCGCCCCTTCTGTACGAGGTTAGCGCTTTTCTTTTATTTTCGTAAACAAACAGCACGATGGGGAAAAGATACGTTCTTGCGTTCTCTGTGCCGCGTTTTAGTCCTTCTTTCAATAAATAATTTCTCTCCGCGCGGTGAAACTGATGTTGCGTCAATAACGACATCTCGCACCTTAAGATCCTTCTATATATCGCCCAAATAATTATCGCAACAAAAGCTTCCCACAAGAAAGTGAGCTGCTAATCGTCCCAGCGAGAACAAAATATTTTGTTACGTTTTATTATCTCCCCACCCTCGTCCAATCGCCACATTGTTTGGAGAAGACACGCGACAGAGGCGCAACCCTACCGGTCCCGTCCCGTTTTTCGCGCGCGCATTTCCTGCGAGCGCGTATTTACTCGTGCGTATGCTGCGTGGGCTGCGCGTATTGTTGCGCGAAATTATCGGCATTGTCATGCGCGACTCGATTTATTTTGTCTATTCGGCGGAAAAGTGCTTTCATTTGCGACTGTCGGCGTGACCGGCGAGAGGGGAACGCGCCGAAACGCTTGAGAGATAGAAAGAGAGAGAGAGAGAGAGAGAGAGAGAGAGAGAGAGAGAGAGAGAGAGAGAGAGAGAGAGAGAGAGAGAGAGGCGGCTGGATGAACAGAGACGAAGGCGAGTGCGTTGCTCGCACCCCTGGTATTCTCCGTCACAAAAGCCTTTAATTCGACAATGCGTCCATCGAAGAGGACAATAGCCGACTTTCGGTAAATTATGATTCCTTCAATCCTCTCGACACTAGTTCACCGCTTTGTCGCATTTCCTCGCGTAACGAGCGCCGACCCACGCTGGACATGTAAACACTAAATGCTGATGTTTAACGTATCAGAGAAATATAATGGTGTGCGCTTGTCGAATAAGCGAGAGTAAATTTGCCGAGCTGAGGTTTTCTCGGGTGCTAAACATTCGAGACGTATCGTGGTTCTCGCAATTCGCAAAGTCCCCGAGGTAATTAAGGAAGGGAAAATTAGGATTTTCATTCCTTTTTTGTCAAGGTTACAGCGTCGGGAACGTGATTCCACGAGAGAGAGAGAGAGAGAGAGAGAGAGAGAGAGAGAGAGAGAGAGAGAGAGAGAGAGAGAGAGAGAGAGAGAGAGCAAGCGAATGAGCGAAGCGTGCAGACGGGCGGACGGCGAAGAATTCGGAATCGGATTAGCGAGAGCGATGGGACGCTCGATTTCGCTCCCGCCTGTTTCGAGCCTTTCATTTTTCGTCCCTCCGGGAGCGTCGGCCCGATATTTGCATTACAAATATACCGTCACCGAGGTTTTTCTCGTTTCATTAAATTCGCTTTTTCCTCGAGACGTACCTCTTCTTCGGCCGGTCCTTCCGCCGTTCATGAATGCGCACTCCCTCATTCACTCCCCCACCCTCTCGCGGCTTGAAAGGGTTGTATTAAGAATTTTAATCTGGCGCGGAGAAAAGTTTGTCGTCTCGACTAGCAAGCGCAAGAATCATTTGTCACGGAAACGTGCGCCGCAACAAGATCACAGCGTTAATTACTCTCTTTCTCTCTCTTTTTGTGATCTCTGCTATTGTCTCATTGAGAAATTGCAGGCTACACACTATTTGATCTCCATTAATTTCAATAAGAATGACTTCGTCGTGTAAATATTCTCCAAATTTTTTCTTAATGGGGATCTCCCATTAAGATCAGAGAAAAATGGCAATACTTTCACTCGAAGCAATGATGAAAATAGCGCCACTCGAAATCAATGCGAGAAGGCACGTTGCACGTTAAATTAAGAGTAAGTTCCGATTCCGTATGAGCGAGTTATCTATCGATTAAAGCGACTATATATTTACGACAGCGCGGTATGTACGCTAGACATATACTTTTCAATTTCGAGAGAAAATATTTACTCGACGACTCAGGATGGGGAAAATAATTGATAAAAATCCCTCCAATTCGAGTGATTCGGTCATCGTTGTACTTTTCGGTTAAAATGTGTCAATTTTAGAGATGTATTAACCTCGTGCGAAATATTAAACAACTTTGCGGACATCCATCTCGGCGTTACACAAAGATTATCCCCCGGATACGACGGGAACGTTCCCCGGTGTGTTCCACGATCAGTAGCGGATTTCTGACTCAATCCGATGACGGATGTTTACTCGCCGTAAATCTTTATCTCTCTCCCGCGAGCTTACTCCCGAGCTGGCGGCCGCATTCTGTCCGACGATGATAATCGCGTACGTGCCGTGCGATCAGATGCTCCGATCCAGAAACGGTTACGCGGATTTGTTCGTTACATCGTACATCGTACATCGACGTCCCGCTAGTTATATCCTGACGGAATTGAGATACGATCGGCCGTTCAGCAGTCGTCTCTCCCTCGTGGCTGGTAAGCAACGTTAACGTGAATTATGGAGCTCGCGTGTAGCGCGATAGCGGGGCGCTGTCAAGAGATGCGAGAACGTGGCCATTTTTGGCACGGGCTATTTACGTGGGAACACAGCCTCCTAAACCTTCTGCTATCGGATGTGTGTTTTACGAGCACACGTGCCGGACACCGGTGATCAACAAACAGCGCTGGCCAACAACGTACAAGCGTTAGATCGAGATCTTCTGGTCACGAGACCGTCGTCGTCTTAATCATTGGATACCGCCTCGTACCTACGAACCTGCCTCTATATCAATCCCATGTGGGTTTTTCTCAGATAAACACCGACTGATCCGATCGAAGGTATAAACAAAATCCAAAATTAAAAGCGGATTAAAAAGAAGCAGAACAAAGGAATATTCGAGAACAGAGTCTCAAACATAAGCAGGAGCAAATAAATAATAAAAGCTTTAATCCTTAATAAATTTTCAATACCTTATTAGATTTTTAATTCAACAGGAGATTGGTTGCGTAACAGTGTGTGATTAAAGACAGAAATGGAACGTTTAACCGATATTTCCTCCTTCCATTTTTCACATTTTGCTTAAGAGAGACCGTCTTCTGCATAAATGGATAACTAAATCCTTTGTGCGACAACGGTAACGCTTTACGTTTCTTTCTTTGTTCACGTGTAACGCGTCTCGCTATTCACAAGTAACAAAGAAATTTCGCAAGTCCGAGTTTCTTATACAAAACTCCGTGTCTACATCTAGTCTGCAACGTTGTCTTAATTAAAGTTGCCTGACTTCTGGCTTGTTGCGTCCTTCGTGCTACTCGTCAGGTTTGTCCCCAGGGGTGCAATTTACTCGCATCCTCTCCCTCTGTCCCTTTACTCAACCCCACCACCAGCGAGTCGTAGCTCGTCTGTGTATATTCTGCCTACCAATGAACTTCTTAAATACAACGAGCAGCCGCCTTCTTATCTTTCATCATCTAACTCTGATCGGCTTATTAATTTATGCAGGGAAGGTCTGATGAAAAAAAGCCATTAACTTTCGTCCAATAATCTCTCCTGTTTTCCGGCGTCAACTTTTTCTTCCATCTCGCTGTTTTACATAGAAATGACGCATTTGTATATTAATGCGATATCACGTTTCTGTGATTTATTTACAAGAGGAGAAGAGCAAATCGGCACCTCATTAAATGGGTTAAACGCGCTTTTGCGATTCTCTCTTGTATCGTAAGCTGCCATCGACGAGATATAAAATTGAGAAAGGAATTTATATATTCGAACTTCACGTAATATCTTTTCTGTGCAATCGCGCGATGAGATTTATGCGCATCAATTGAATATTCAAACAATAACGGATGTTGGGAATCAAAAAGCGGGGCGGTATGAAACATCTTCTTTAAGTCGCGGAATCTCTTTGCGAGTCGGTTTAATTAAAAATCAGCGAATAGTCCGAAATGCAATTAAAGAAGCGAAAGGGTAGGAATCGAGGGGTGATATCGCCTTGAACAAGAGTCACACCGATCGTTCCCGGATCCGGATACAATCCTCTGCGGTGCTCTTCCAATCCTCTTTCTTTTCGCGCGGCTTTGAACTTGGACGCGGTGTGGCATCCTCTTTAAGGCATGCATCGGTCACAGGCGAAGGTCCTTCGTGGTCTTTACTATGTAAAACAGTTCCTGCATCCCTTTGTCCATCAGTCAGAGGCCATCCCCGCATGTTAAAGCTCTGACCGTCCGAGATGATGAAACTTTCGCCGCGTCGTGAATGGACAAGAGTTTCCCGCGGTACGGTCCATTCGATATTTATTTAGTAGGGACGAAAGTGTACGTCTTCGTGCCCGTGGGACCTTCTCAGATTTACATGGCGCAGAAAATAGATTTCCACCTACGTGCGCGTGTCCTTTGTCACGCAAACGTTGAATTTTTGTTGACTCCTCAGTGTTCGTCCGTACGCGTAGCATTGTCTCCTCCTCTCGGCGATTATTTACTATGCGCATCGCGATAATATATAATAAATTCCACCACGGTGGAGAACTATTTTGCATTTGTGTAATTAGACGAAGGTGTTTTCCCGCGCTCGATAATAATTCACCGTAGACTCCCGTTCCCGCGAACTCCAATCGCGCGATTCTCTCGGCTGACAGTCAACAAACAAATTAACGGAGGCTGCGATTATATTCGCGCGCTCGGTATCGCTCGAAATCGTGTTTCACTGACTTTGGGATTAATACTTCGATCCACCAGCGTGATCTACCTCCCGTAATCGCATATCGGAACGGATCCCGCTCTCCCATCCTTCGCACGCGCCGGCGTTATAAATGGGCGCTATGAGCGCGTGTAGGTGTCGTTTTGTCGGGCGACGGCGCGCACGGGGAGGCCCACCATTAGCCTGCAGGTGTTGGATATCCCAGCCACGCCATCACTCCCTCATTCCCGGCGATCATGCTCAAGATGATCCCCCGAACGACAGGCGCAAGTTTCACTATCTCGCGCCGGAATGAGATCGAGAGCAGCGAGAGAGAGAGAGAGAGAGAGAGAGAGAGAGAGAGAGAGAGAGAGAGAGAGAGAGAGAGAGAGAGAGAGAGAGAAAGAGAGAGAGAGAGCAAATAATCCTCTTCCGCATTATCCCACGGGTTCTTGGAAATCGCTGTTAATGGCTTTCGTCCCGCCTCGACGGTGGATCCGCTTTGTTGTTGTTAATTGTTGTTATCTCGACGAGCTCGACCGGGATGCAGCTCGCTGCGGATTTACGGGATCGCTGGACCCGTTCGATTTATTGACAGCGGTGCTTTAAGTCGTGACGGAGGGTAGGTGGAATTGAACTTTCTCAGACGCCGTGTAACGTAATGATTAGAAATGCGCGAGTCGATCTTCTCGCTGTTTCCAGAGTGGTTTTCACGTATCTTCGTCTCTAGATAAAAATAAAGTAGAACTTTCTTCTCTTCTCTTCTCTTCTCTTCTCTTATCTTATCTTCTTTTCTCTTCTCCTTTCTCCTTTCTCCTTTCTTTTCTTTCTCTCATCCTCTGTCTTTTTTTTTTTAACATTTTTGCAACCATTTTTAATGCGTATGTGTACATCCCCGCGACTATCCCCGATGGGACTAATTTTACCAGTGAGTTATCACCGGCTCAATTGGCATACGCGCAGGTGCTCTCGTGAGCGTATTTCCTGGCCGGTATGAACATGGCGTCGCAGCCGTAGTCCTTGTAGGCGCACTCTTCCATCTTGTAATTGCACTTATCCTCGTGTATCTGCTTGCGACAGCGCTTCGGTCGCATCCGACAGCCGTTCGCGGACCATCTGCATTCCACTTGCTCCTCGGGGTCCAACACCCAGACATGGCTGGACTCGTCGTCGGTCTCCGTGTGATGGCTCCTGTAGTTACATTTCTGCTCGTGTACGAGTTTACGCCTCCTCGGCATCTTCACCATGCAGCCGTATCGCCGGAACTTGCATTCCACCAATTGCCCGGGATCGCTGTCGACGTAATCGTCATCGACGAATGTCGCGCGCGCCATACCCTCGCTGATGTCGCTCACGCCGTGGAACTTGTCCTTGTAAATGCAAAAGTTTTCGTGGATACCGCGCCTCCACGGCACCGTGCGGACCTTGCAACCCGCCGCTGCATACGGACACTCCACCAAGTCGTCGTGGCGATGCCGCAGGTCCGTCGGCAGCTGCTCCTCCTCCAAGTGCGGTCGAAACTGGCACCTAACGTTACGATCAGGGTATTAACATCGCCGAACAGCTCGAGTTATTCGAAGCGGAACTCTCTCACCTCGACTCGTGAAGAAACTGCAGGTGCTCGGGCACTCTCACCCAGCAGCCCAGGTGAGAGTACGAGCACGACCTGAGCTGCTGCTCCATCGACGGCGTCGGCGGCGGCTGCCAGGGTCTCCTCTCGTGCTCCAGAAAGTTTTCCGTCATGGACGGTGCGCTGGGGCTGTAGTCGACACGCCGGCGCGGCATGGCTTGCGGCGGCATCGGGTGCGGCGTCAAGTGCACCGGCGACGGAGCGTCCACCTGCGGCGACAGGGTCTCCATGTCCAACGGCATTTGGCACGTGGGACAGGCGTAGTAGTAAGGCTTGCAACGATAGCACATGGTGTGGCTGTTGCCGCACGAGTACCGGGGCGTCAGCTCCATTTCCATGAGGCAGATCCCGCAGAGGCCCTCGGTCTTAAAGCGCTCGTGCAGGTTTGGATACAGCGTGTCCATGACCTATCGGCGAGAGTGGTTATTTAGCGCCGCCGTTCACACACACGGGCTGTCCTTCTCACTGTTTCGGCGAGATTGTGATTGAGGCGGGTCTACTTGAACGGAGCACCGAAAGAAGAGCCGCCGCCTCCTCGCGCGGCTTCGCAAGCGCGAGGAGATGAAGAGAAATTACATCGTATTCTATCTATCTGTCCCCTACCCCCTCCCCCCTCTCTCTCTCTCTCTCTCTCTCCTTCACTGACCCGTGTGCTCGAGCTTGCTCCTTCGCTATGAAGATTTATGTGCAATTCAATATAGAATAATGGAAGAGACTTAAGAAGCGAGGCAGGTTCGCGGCTAAAGTGCAAATAGGATTAGGACAAATGAGCGAACGCGAGTGTGCTCGCGCTCTTGGATACGAGCAGGCGATTATTTGGCCAAGTGCGCCGCGGTCTTGATCTTATATCTGATGATGATAACAGTTACGAAAACGACGTGCGCGAAGCGTTTGGGCGTATCTGAAGGACGCGCGGCTATCACGTAAATGAGGTTTCGTGCAAACAGCGCGAGTTATTTATTATAGATCCATTTTAAGCGGCAGATTTGCTCTCCAAGAGAGAGAGAGAGAGAGAGAGAGAAAGAGAGCTTTCGAAATTGCGACGTTCGCCGACTGATGGCTCTGAGAAGCTATTTACACGAGACAGCACGACCGCGGATTTCGTAACCGCGCGTAATCCGTGCGATTTAGCCGGAGGCTAAACGCTCCGTTGTAACAATCAATAAGAACACGACATTTTTCTACTCACTTTGGCTATCTTCCACTCGAGACTCGGCGATAGAGACAAAAATTACACGCCCGATGGGGAGCGAGAAAAAATAGCTGGAGCGGCACGTACTTTTCCGAAAGCGCGGGCGCCGTGTGTCATCGTCGAGCTGTCACCGTTCCCTTATCTGGCGAGACCGATAGCGTGACTTTATCTGATAAAACGTTTCGCTCATGATAGAGAGCCGTTTTCACGTTGTGCCGCGCCGCAGATAAAAACCCCGCTCTCCCTCCCCGGCGCGGCGGGGAGGGATTCCATATTCGCCGTGGAAATAAAAAATGCTCCGTTCTCGTTTGCTATGCGCTTCGCGTCACCGTAAGGCGACCGCCATCCGGTATTTATTATGCTCGTACATACGCGCGTGAAAAATTGGAAATATAAGGCGAGCTGTGCTTTTTCGCCGGCGGCGGCGGGTCGTTTTGTTCGCGCCGTGCCTGGAATTAATTAACGATTATTCATACGGTTCGCGCGATATACAGAGTGTCTCGCTCGCATAGATTCACGCTCGCGTTTGCTCTCACGCACACGCGGACCCTTTCGCGCGGAATTATTAGGTCAATCGGAAAGTTCCGTCCGTTTTCTTGCAAAACGTATGGCTCTTTATTTAAGAAACAAAATGAAGAGGTACATCAGTCAAAATATTGTCCATCGTTAGCGATGACTTTTCTCCATCTTTCGGTCAGCAAGCGAATTCCGCGGCGAAAGAATGACTCATCTTTGGAGGTTATCCAGTCGGAGACCGATTTTTCGACGTCTTCATAAGAATTGAAGCATTCGTCAGCAAGTGCGTGTGCCATCGACCGAAACAAGTGGTAGTTGGAAGGGGCACAGTCTGGCGAATAAGCCAATAATGGGGTAACACTTCCCAGCGAAGTGTTTCTAACGTTTCCTCGACAGATTTTGTGACGTGAGGCCGAGCGTTGTCATGAAGCAAAATCACTTGATGCTGTCTCGTTTCATATTCTAGTCGTTTTTTGTGCAACGCTCGGCTCAAACCGATCATTTGTTCTCTGTAGAGATCCCCTGTGACTGTTTGACCACTTTTCAACAGCTCATTGTACAGCACACCCTTCTGATCCCACCAAATACAGAGCATTGCCTTCTTTCCGTGGATATTCCGCTTTGGCGTCGGGATGTTGAGGGTTGGCCGGGATCGCAAACAGTTTTCCGACGTTTGGGATTGTCAAAATAAATCCATTTTTCATCCCCAATGATGATACGACGTAAAAGCCCCTTTCTTTGTTGCCTAGCAAGCAGAATTTCGCAGATGGTTTTTCGCCTTTCAATGTCTCTTAGCTTCAGTTCATGTGGGACTCATTTTCCTTCCTTGTAAACGAAGGAATCCTTTCCCGAGGCTTTCAAACGATCGGAAATGACAGATTGAGCACAATTTAATGCTTCTGCAAGTTGTTTTTGCGTTTGACATGGGTCTTCGTCCACCAATGCCTGCAATTCTTCGTCTTCGAATACTCTTGGCCGTCCAGAATGCTCTTTGTCCTCTACATCAAAATCACCACTTTTATCGCGTCGAAACGATTCTCTGCATGTTTCATCGGAAGGAGCATTATCATCATAAACTTCTACAAGCATTCGATGAGCTTTCAGCTGCAGTTTTATTCCAATTGAAGCAAAAGATTAAGACTTCGCGCAAATGACGCTTATTTCGCTGAAATTTCGACATTTTCGATGCAGTAAGAAACAATAGTATTGATGCAAACGTATACCTTTATGTACTGAATGTTATTGACAGATGTCAAAACAAATTATTAAGCTTCGTTTAGACATTAGAGGTTAACGACAGTTCTAGCTATAGCTAGATTGCCGCTAGATGGACGGAACTTTCCGATTTACCTAACAGGATCGATTTCTCCTCGCGGACGCAGACGCGAAAACGCTATTATCGTTAGAGAGCGAAGTGAATCCTGCTGCCGATGATGTCCCATAACGCACGATTTGTCGATAGAAAAGTCGACTTTAAATCGCTCAACGAATATCCGTGGGTGAAGCGAAGCGAAGTGGAAATAGGAGACACCGTATGTGTAGGAAGAAATCGCATCTCTCTGTCGCTGTCAGACGCGAGTCATAACAGACGATGAATTTCCGTTTCAAGTTGGCCGACATGGTCGTTACATGGTGACGGCTAATTAAACGTGAAAAATCGGTATCATTGGTGCGTGCGTGAATTTTCGGCGTATCACATACGCGACTATTGCGTATCCGGTTACACACACCGCGGCGAGCGATACGATATTCGTAATCTTCAATTTAAATCTGCACGATCGCATGGACGTCGGACGCATCGCGCCGGGTACCGTCGCAAAAATTTTGCCGACGCCGCGCTATTTTATCTTGAACACGTTGAGCCTGAAAGCGTTATCTGTGTCGCCAAATTAATGTAATTTGTAAAACGGTGGGACAGAATCGAGCAAGCGCACTCGCCGGAGGGAGAGCTTCCCGATATGGAAAATCTCGATACGAGGAAACCTGCATGGGGGACGGAAATGGATTTTCTGCATTTAATGGATACAACTTCGACAGCTAATCGAGAGCCGCAATCGCTCTATTAGGGAAGTATTGTCCAGTTAATTAATATCGACAATCGATTGTTATCGCCAGTGGGATGCGGTATCTCGTTACAATGACGCTGCTAATGAATTTTCAATTGTTACGTTTTCAGCTGAATCGCATCTTGTTAGCTGAAACCGTACAAGGCGATATCGATCCCGGAATGATAGAATGGCAGCAATCAGATGCCGTTGTATAAAAATTGTCGATTAATCGTTGCTTAAAAATAGAAGCAGCGGAAATCGACGGAAGGCGCGAGAGAGAGAGAGAGAGAGAGAGAGAGAGAAAAGGGGAAACGGCGTCGCTCGATTTTTCGCAAAAGCCGCGCGCGCGAATATTCGAACGAAACCGAATACTTTCGTATGATATTCCACACGGGGTCTCGTAACGACCGTCCCTCATTTGAATCCCCGCGCGAATGTCGCATCACAGATACCCGAACGACCCTGTCTACCGTGAGGGTAATACTCGCTGACCATAAGTCACTTATGTAAATCTGAGCGATGGAAATACACGTCGAGCCACGTTGATGGCACGACTGCGAGGAATCAAATTCAATGCAAGATTCAACGTTTTGGCGCGATTCACGATAATCACGTCTTTTATGAATCCTTAAAATTTTATCATTGTAATTCTTCCACAGAGTTTGTATATCGGATGGAGGAAACATTTAGGTGATGCATGACGGTACGCTACGATCTTTTTCTTTTTTTAAATTCATTCATCCTTTTCGTCGCTTTTGCGGATTAATAGAGAACACACGAGCGGATCGCCCTGAGATCTGAGAAAAAGATGACCGTTTAATATAATTTTTTTCCCTTCGCCACTCAGTTCACCCTCCACTGATGTACCGAGAAAAGGAGGAAGGAGTATTAAGGGAGTACAGATACGTACAGAGAAACGGGGCGAAATAAGCTCGCGACGGCAGCCCGGTATTCAACCGCCCCGAACCTCTTTTCAGACGTCAATTTATTTTTACTGCCCTTTCCGCGGCAATATTGCGCTATCAAATTTTTCCGGAAAATCTCGCTCGTGATATTTCGCGCGATTTCGTCGGCGTAGCGGCGTGTGGATGTGCCATAATCGCGCACACTTTATACAATCGTGGTCGCTTTGTGCACACGGCGAGATATTCATTATGCAATGCAAGTAGCGAGACAGTTGGATACGCTGATGGAAACACATCACCGTCGTTTAATCAAAGCGGAACCAAATGTCAGAGAAGCCGAGGTAGAATGTGGTCCAACAATTTTTATTCCTTTTTTTTCGCACCAGTGTTCTCCGAGTCGGAATTTCGCTTTTACATTAATTTCTACAATACATTCGCTGCTCTGTAAATCTCATTGGACTTGGAAGACCAATAAAGAAACGCAAGATACTCGGTGAGCGCAAAAGAATTTTTGTTTCTTACGAGTGATGACTTAAAGATGATTCAGCTTTAAGGCAAGATTTTCAAATATTTAGATGTGTATAATATACCAAAGATAACAGATACAAAGAGAAGTGCATCCTGCATTAATTATATTCCTTACTCTTAGAAATTCGCCAGCTGGATTAACGTAGAATCAAAAGGACGCGACTATCGGGGGGGTCTTTTTCCAACGTCAGGGTTCGCACTCGCCGAGATTTACCGGACTTTATGCCTGCTTTGCTGCAGTAATAGATCCTAAAATTGCTGATTTATCTCCCGTGTGCTCTCCGCACCGTTAGCCATCCGCGCATTAGTTTCCTAATCTCCAATCGCTCACCCCGCGGCAAAGCCGTGCCGCGAATTTCAGCGAGAGCCGAAGCATCGCTGATCAATAAAGGAGGCAGACGATCGCCGTGAAGCTTAATCTCGCGACTGGCTTTGTGATTGATTCGAACATATTTCCAGCTTACGCGCCGAACACAATCGATCTCTCTCAATATCCGATCGCGCAGCTGCAATTCGATCTCGCGCTTTTTCTACGAGACAATTATTAAGACATTACGGGACATTAAGACACTACACAGCTCCCCCAACTAGCAATAAATAAATTAGTAATAAATAATCGTAAAAGTACACAAAAGTAATTTCATTTCCCGTATGTTTATTTGCAAAGTTTCTTTCTTTCAAAGCTTACCTGCATGTTTGCTCTCACGCAATACAGAGCGGCGCGTGCAGTCGGTCGAAACAATTCCCCTTGCTTATAAACACCGCTTTTCCTTGCCGAATATCCGACTACGCTCTCGAGAGGAGGGATTCGAATCGTGCAATATGTCGCATAATTCAGCCATTCTTCATACTACCTCTACAGGGGAACAAGCTTCCGACATGTGTAGGCACGCGTGTATCGCTCGTGTAGTTCCTTAAGTACGTAAAGTACACAGCTCCCCCGCGCTCGAAGGAGAAGTTACGGAACGCAAAATCGATTCGGAGGATATCGAGGATTTTATTGTTTGACGGAGGGCGACTTTCCGGGATTGATGGATGCTCCCGTGAAATTGCCACATGCCGCGTATTACTTTGCGAAAATTGCTGAGAAGTCTCGTTATATTTATTTTCTTCGTGCGATTACGTAAGTGACGTTTGACATGCACACACACACACACACACAGAGAGAGACGCGCGCAGCAAACAGCTCGCTCCGCAAGATCTCTTTCGAGGTGAAAAGGAACACGTGACAGAAGGATTTCTCGCTGTTAAATCACAGTGGGCAGACGTGAAGAGTCGCGAACTTTTCACAGAAAATTAGGCATCTTCGCGCGCTGCCATTCTGCAGCGTTCTTCGGAAGCTGCCGGCGCTCGACCTGCTTTCCGCGCACAGCAGTTCCGCATTCGCGCCTTTACAAAAGAGACTTTTGTATTCACGAGTATGATAATGCTCCTCTACGAGACTCCCTCGCACCTGCAGCCGCTCATGGTATGTGTGTGTATACGTGTGCATGTTGTCTCACTTGTAACAGGGATATATATATATATATATATATTCGTGAGTACCCGAGGAATGCGGCGTC